CTAATTGGCCTATACATACTGCCTAATTTTAGATGATAATATTTTTCAATAGTTTAATTTTCTGACATTTTTTCGCGGGAAATCGTTTTATCTACAGTGGCCATTTTCAAACTTCTTTTTGAATGTATTTTTTTTACAATTTTTATATATTTTTTTTCGATACAAAGAGGCAAAGACTTCATCGCTAGTACACAGGATATCATCGCAACGAAGCACAATATTTTAAATTGTAATTTTGACATACACGAAGGAGGAGTGTAAATTCATATAATCGCAGATATTCGAAGATAAGAGTCGACACAGTCTATGTCGGAACGTTTGTGAGAAAGTTGAATGTGTCAGTTAGCAATGAAAGAGACTCAGTCTTTTAAGGCGTTTTATAACAACTCGACTCGATTTTACAGGACTCGACTCTAAAATTAAGACTGGAGGTTCGAGTTTTTATTAATAAGACTCAGTCGTTATACTAAAAGACTTAAACGACTTTGTACGACGTAAACGACTTGAACGACTTAAACGACTTATACCTATTTTATGTCTTATTAAACCCGAAGTTTAAAAATAAAAATGACGTAGTATGTAGTAAATAATCACGTTTATTTACTTACAATAAAAATTAGGATTCAAAGAGTGATCTAAGCAATAGGTACGAGATTTTAAGTCCTAATTATATAATGATTGCATACAACACTTTTTCTGCGAGTAAATTAAAATAATGAAATACAACCAACATTTAAAAGTCTATGGAAATCCAGTTCTAATGTGCTCTTTTTTTATTTTATGTAATATTGGTCTGTAACCACTTTTCTTATTATGAAGTCCTGGTACTTTTATTTAAACTTCTTTAGAAACCCGTGCACAGTAGTGAGTTACAATTTATCTGTAATACATAGAACAAACATATACATAAATATCTAGCCTGTCACCCGTTCAGGGGTAGGCAGAGACTGTGGACCTCCACTTAATACGTTCATAAATAGCATGTTTCATTCATCATTATGGTCAAACGACAGTATCAGACACTAAAATTTGATTAAATACTTTGACTGCTGGGTTCTGTATCCATTCACTATTATGTTAAAGGAACAAATAATTCCTAAAAAACAAATTCTTGAATTGGTTATAATTAACTGACTTCTGTGAACAAAGGTACGTTAAAGTTATCCGTCAATCGTAAAATATATATTTTGTGGGTACAAATAAAATCACGCCATACGGCTCATGACTCGCGACTCCCGAGGCTTTAAGGCGCCAGTCGTTTTAGTCGTTTTAGTCCTATAAATCTCTTCCTAGGGTTAAAAGATTTCGAATCGAATTAGTCTTCAGTTTTAGTCTTATGACTCAGGACTTGAAGGAAAAAGACTAGACTAGTCGTGAGACGTTAAAAATTAGTCGAGGTTTTTAAAAAGGCCTTAAAAGACTGAGGCTCTTTCATCACTAGTGTCAGTAAACTCCTCCTCAATGCGATATCCAGTTAATCTAATCCGAATGCGAATTTCACAAGCGGCCGTGACAAGAAAGCACAGTTGTCCGACTACATTACATCTCCGCGGCGTTGTAAATGGCCCGTCAGGTCTGGTGACAACAACACTACATCAACATGTAGGTGTATTGGACAGATATCGTCCGATGTACTTGACGTCTGGAAAACAGGTGAACGAGGCGAGAACACGATATGACTCAATTTAAAACCATGTAATCATAATTAATTTTTTTTCTACTTTTGTGGTTTACGTCAACATATCCAACTCATTTGCATATACACAATGTCATAAAATTGGCAACCGTGACTTGTTTCATTTATTTATTTTGCACGTATCTACATATTGAGTAATTACGTTGTAATAAGAAAGAGTCTTTTTTTAATCGCGTGAAATTAAATAGATGATGAAGCTCCAGGTTGGACCGTTTATTAAAAATGCAGCAATGCTCTTCTCATAATGAGTTAGAGCTTGGACGAATTTATAGTCATTTCTTAATTAAAACCTTTTTATCTGGAAGGCACATGGGACTTGTCAACTTATGTCTCAGGGTCTCCCGAGCGTAGTGGTAGTGCCACTAGATCTTTGCGACACACAGCTGTGAATGGCACTGCAACTAATATTGATAGACTGGTCGCTTACTACCAGGTTGACGACTTGTTCGTCCCGTAGATATCTTAAAAAAGATCCAGGTTTACCTATTCAATGCCTACTCTTTGAGTTCATCAACAAAAACTAATCTAAAGTGATTAAGTAGGTTGGTGCAATTGATCTTTAAATTCGTCCATGTGAAATAACAAGAGACAGTGAATCAATTCGTCACGTGTAAAAACAGAGCTTTATTATGAGGAAACAGAAACGAACTTGCCCGCAGTTTGAGCATGCCCTTATGTAGGACAAGCAGTGATACAAAAATAAAGATGACCGCCCAACAGCAGAGTGCAGTGCTATGAATAAATTTACAAAAAAATATTAACTTTCTTCGCTACGGAACACATTCACATATTTTATAGCTTACACTTACTTATAAGGTGAAACTCTGCTTAAGTAGAGTTAACTTTTATACAAGCAGATTGTTTTGTTTCGTGTTCATTAAAGAAGCGAATGGTATTATCGACAACGACAAACTTTATTATTATTGATACAAACTGACTGGACTCGAACCAGCGACTGTTGCCTCAACTTGGCTACTAGTGTTAATTAGTGGAGTATGACTGATTTTTATTGAATATTATGATAATATTCATTTATTTTTTTGAGAAATTACTCCACTAGTTTGTTATAATTATAAATACAAAGATCGAAAACAAAGAAAAATTCCTTCGACCTGCCAGGACTAAAACCTGCGTCTGTGCCCAAACAGGGTCACCGCTCCACCAACTGAGCTACAGATCGAATTAGCAGACTGCGAATTTCTCTGTTTGTTACACTTAGAGAATAACAAAAACAAGGATCATGGATATTCAATCAAAATAAACGATTGCTATATTATCTTTATTTTTACGGAACATTGTGAACACCGCTTATATAAGGATTAAATTTCAGTCATATTGCCTTTGCTCCTATTATTTTGCTCGTATTAGCGATAAGCGCGACTGATGTATAGCTTCCGCGGATAACTCATATATAACAATTCATTCTAATTTAACGTATTGCCGACCCACGAAACATGGACCGTGTAATAAATGTGCCAATCTAAAGTACTTATACTACCACGGAACATTATGCTGAAAACTTCTTTAACCCATGCTGAGAACTTTGGTTATTGCCAGCACATTTACTGTAGACAACTGATAGTATCACGGCCTCAATAAATCACATCTTTGATATTGAACTCATATAGCTGTATAGATCACAGTCGTAAAATTATATAGTCCTTGCACATGTTACAAGACTAATAAAAAACGAAAGATTTTTCCACATAACACACTACATCTGCTTGAAGGTAAAACCACATAAGTGACATTTTCCACGAAAAATCTCCAAATTAAGTACAATGTGTTTTGTAAGAAACTCACCATCTTTCTGCACATAAAACTCTTATATTAAGTTTATAGTTTTTTTGTTATTGAGTTTCACGTGCAGAAAGATAGTGATTTCTTTACCATAGCTATATAAATTAAAGACATTTTGTGAAAAATGTCATTTATGTAGTTTTACCTTTAAACAGATGAATATTTTATTGTGAAAGGGCTACAACATTTTTTCCCACTAACGGCTGAATGGAAATGGAAAATAATGTGATCTTAAAACGAACATCTCTAATAATCTCTGCTAAAGTTAAGCCAGCGGATGTGGTATTTTCTCTCATCGAGTTTAGACAAGAACGCAAAGAAGGGTTTGGTTTATACAAACCAGATGTTGCTAATGAATGCTGATCGATACCATAGAGCTGCACGCACTGCAAATACGATTCTTGTTTTGCCTTCTAACGCATAATTTGGAATGAAACACGAGTTCCCGTACACTAATGATGCTATTAAAACCAGTTAAAAAGAAAGATCAACACCTGAATGACGTACATTGAACAGTTCAGCACATTGAGATTGACACTCGTTCAGAAGTCTTGTAGCTTGCTCGAGGAGTTAAACTACACGGATGTGAAAAAGTGAATAAAGTTAGAGACGAGACTTGTGAAAGATGTACGACGTATCCGCTCCCTTATGACACAACGCTGCAATTTGTCCTCAAGCCAATAAGAACACGAACACTGTAAGTACTCGAATTTTGACAAGCGAATAATGACATACAGCAAGTTTAATCAGTAACAGTTTTTAGAAGATGACTCAAATAAACAGTGATTCTATAATAAGAGTTTTACCAGGGATTGCTTTTGTTAGCACAACCCAGAACGAAAAATGTATTTGTTGGTCTTTCCTCTTTTAACGCGTCGAATGTTGAATGATGTGTTTTCAATCATAATATGTGCCTACATTAATTAACACTACAACCAACTGCGTAAAATTCTATCAACACAGTAATGCACTTTTTTCTTAAATGAATATTTAACGTAATGCCACATTTTCAGCACATTTCTGTGTCGCAAAAATCGTAAATTATTAATTAAAATAACTTTGAAAAGTAGTGTCTGGCACTGTGAACCAGTTGAGATGCACGCATTGATTAGCGTGTGCATCAACATAAAGTCGCAACATTCTCGTCTTTTTTTCATTTATTTGATATTTACGTAATAAATCCTGGCGATTACATTAGGTAACATTGTTCAACATTTGATCTGTACTTTAGTGTTTATGCGTTAAATGTTAGCACTACGTGGCAAGTGAGGCCATAAAGTTTATTACACAACGACAACGCATAAGCCGTGTCAATTGACTCACGGCGGGTCGAGGTCGCGGTCGTGAACTCGTTGAAGTACACCAACGAAAACCCTTGAAAAGCACATTAACTCTTTTGCCACGACATTTATGGTCTTCGTGTGGTCGTCTAAGAATCGTCAAATCACAACTAAAAGTTAAAAGTAGGAGACTTGATATCTTAACCAAATTCTGAGCGACTGACCTGCTGCCAGGCATGAAAGGGAAAACGATGAGCGACGAGAGCGGCGGCGATAGTGTGCACTGTTGGCAGAAGGACGCCGAAGCCAGCAGCGACAGGCGTGCCAACCGGCAGCAGTGCGTACGCTGCGAACACCGCCCACACCACGTGCACCGCACCCTCGGCGGCGGCTCCGGGACCCCACGCGGGCAATGTGGCTGCCAGTGCCGCACCTCCGCCCGCTAGCGCTAACCAGCACGCGCGTGGAAGCCGCCGCTCCGGCGCCACGCCGCCCACACGCCCACACCACCATGCTAAACCGCTGCAAAGCAACGCATGCGCCGCCAAAACGCCCACCTGCATCAAATATAATGTTACTAAAGGTAAAACATACAATCCGCTACAAAAAATCGATCCCATGTCGTCGTACGTTCTGACCTGCGGTGCTCTGCGCCAGCCTCTAGTGGCGTCGACAGCAGCAAGTGCAGCGGCCAGCACAGCCCAAAGTGCTAGCGCGGATCCCACAGAGGTGCGCTGCAGCTTGCAGGCGTAACGCGCGTACAGTTCCTCCAGCTCGGCAGACTCGAAGCGGTGGCGCGCTACCAACCGCGCCAGAGGCCCGCGCGCCGACATAGCCTTCACCGAATGGTCCATGCCCTCGCCGCGCCTCACCTCGCCGCCGACCTCAACACCACACGCCGCCACATCTGCAAACACAACACACATTCATATCTTGTCTACATTATCTACATGACATAATATACTGTTAGACAACTCACAAGAAAATACTATGGTAAAACTAAAGTTACTTGGTAACAGTTTTGTCAAATTTACGAATAGCAGTAGCCTAGAAATCATAGCTTCATCATCAACATATCATACGTCCCAACATTAGGCACTCCAGTAAGGAAACTGTTGTAGGCCATCGCCTTCCACACTGGCCCAATGCGTGTTGGCGACTTCAAACGTCTTCCAAGGGTTGTAAACCTTTTTCGATATGCAGGTTTCATGCCGCCACAGGGATTGGAACCGTTGACCTCACAACTGAGAAGCAACCACAGACATATACCTATCTAAATATGTCTGTGGAAGCAACCGTACGCCTACGCTGGTCGACCGCTACTCTCAAAAATCTAAGACGCAATACCTAGTAATAATAAAATCGTTTATTTATCTCAATCTCAACATATTAGTAAGTGTTTAGTAACAACAATAGTGGTGTGAGATAAAAAGGTCTATAACTCAGCACTATGGCGGTGTTTCACAATGCCGCTGATATTCTGCTACAGCCTGTCATGTTCATAAAAAGAAGAACTAACACACATTATCATTCTAGTTCTAAGATTTCAAGCCGATTATAGTCACATAATTACGATTAATTCATTTCAAAATCATTAAATCAAAATTATTCATTTACATACAATATAAAAAAACGAAAATACAAATTAAATAATACTCGTATAACAAAAACATCAAATGGGTCTATGACTCGATACAAAGGACTATGAAGTACATTGCCCTCACTGTCATTCTGTCGTAGCCCGTAATGGTTACGCACTAAAACAATTGAACTAAATACAATTAAAATTCCAAAATGTTCACGAACAACACGTAAGGCACAAATTACAAGAAACCTGCACTATCGGGTGCTTGAGAAATAATCATTATGAATATTTTTTGTCTTATTGTCGAGAACTATTAGGACACTGCCCCTCTTACGAAACGAGGAATCTTAACCATGAGATGAATCCGATTCTGAGATAAGGTTTAGTATAATTCCTCTTTGATACTACGTGGCAAAAACGCACACATCCATTCGGCCCTTTGCTCAGCACCTTGTGAATCAACGTTAAGGAGTTTTTAAAACAGAGATAGTACAAAGCTACTCGTATACCGTAAGAACTTAGATGGAACAATATTAACGAAACCTAGTGTCGACGTCAAAGTCAAAGTCAAAGATTATTTATTCCATAGGTAAAATAAATTTACACTTGAAAACGTCACATTTAAGCTACTGCTCGTTCACTACGCAGACCTCCCTGAGAAGAACGAGCAAGAAACTCTAGGGATTGCTCTTTTCAACTAAACTTAAATGCTATGGAATACACTTTGAATCAAATTTGTGTGGATTCTGGAGCCATGTCGTCTTTCCATACATCTTTATCTAACACGTAGTCTTCAATTTTGTAATATGATTTTTCGATCAAAATACTTTTAATGTAGTTTTTAAACTTAGGAAATGATAAACTTAATATATGCTCCGGAATCTTATTGTAAAAACGTATACAGTTCCCCATAAAAGAGTTGTTTACCTTGGTTAAACAAAATCGTGGTACCATGAGTTTGGACTTAGCTCTAAGGTTAATATTATGGATATCTTCTTTCTTATTGTAATTATGTATATTTTTACGGGCATATAAAATATTTGAGTAAATGTACTGTGATGCCACAGTCATGATACCAGTCTCCTTAAACTTTTCTCTGAGAGATACCCGAGAGCCTAGACTGTACACAGAACGAATCGCTCGTTTTTGCAATACAAATATGGTTTGAATATCTGCCGCTTTACCCCACATGAGAATCCCGTAGGACATTATACTATGGAAGTAACTCAAGTAAACTAGTCTAGCAGTACTAACATCGGTAAGCTCACGTATTCTGCGGACTGCGTATGCAGCGGAGCTTAATCTGCTGGCCAAGGACGATATATGTGGAAACCACTGAAGTTTACTATCTAAGGTCACTCATTAGAAGACTGCTTTATTAACAAGGTCTAACTTTTCTCCGTTTATTTCTATGCTTGGACTAGTCGATTTTACGTTAGGTAATTCAAATTTAACACATTTTGTCTTCTTGGCATTAAGCAATAAATTGTTAGCATTAAACCAATAAACTACCTTAGAGAAGGTATCATTAATACGGTCATAGTTAATGTCATGTCTGTCTGTTTTAAAAATCAAGGTTGTGTCATCAGCAAACAACACTATTTCGCAATGGTCCTTAACAAAGAATGGCAGATCATTAATATAAATCAGAAATAAGAAAGGTCCAAGTATTGAGCCCTGCGGAACACCCATTTTTACTGGAGAACCCAAAGAAGTCACTCCATTTATGTCTACTTTCTGAATTCTACCGTTGAGATATGACGAGACAAGTTTCGACGCCTTGCCATAATTTTACTTGACGTTAATAAAAGGTTACTTAAACGTTCTGCCAGTTCTAAAACATGTAGTTACTGAAGTGTTCCTCGAAACATAAGTTCTCACCAAGCAATAACACAGCTTTGCAAAGCTGGCTTTATTGATAGGTTCCATTTTATTAAACGTTCTGACAGTTAAAAATCTTTACCGATTTTAGCATTTTTTTTTTCAAAATGCAGTTATAATGAAACCAAATTCCTTGCACGGCTTTAGAAGGAAATTAAAGTAACGAGTTGTTAAGTTTCGCAACTGTTACACATAGGAAATGAAACTATTTTTACGGATTTATGTCGCGTATATTTGTTAATCAAACAAAACAACGTTTCGGGCCTTAGACGTTTTCATTAAAAGAAATCCTAATAACACCTTAGGCCATACTGTTTTCGAAAGAAAACCTATACAGATAGATACCTCAATGGTAATTCCCATCACCATCCTAGCCAGTTAGCTACCGTGAGTAAATCTTTGTTTTGAGAGCGTATGGTGTCTGCGACAGTAATCATCTGGCCGGGGAACTTCAGCATATAAAGCAAGTCCTACAAGCGAACAAGTTGAAGACTCCACGCCAATACCGCAGGCCCCTTGTGAAACCACCAACAGTCGAGCGAAGACCTGCCATTTTACCTTACGTGAGAGGTGTTACAAACAAGATCGGAAGAGTCCTCTGGCGTGCATCTATCAAGACCTATTTCAAGTCCCTGAGGAAGATTTCTCAGTGACTTTCCTGAGACCCGTGAAATGTAACATCCCCTTACAGGATGCAGGAATTTACAAGCTTGACTGTGAGTGCGGTCTCTCTTATATTGGACAAACGAAGCGAAGTATTTGCACCCGCGTCAAAGAACATATAGCTGATGTCAAACACCGTCGCGTAAACAAGTCTGCAGTCTGTGAGCATGTCATAAATAAACCTACACATTCAATGAAGTTTGACAAACCAGGTCCTTGCCAAAGAAGTCTGTTATCTACCCAGGATGTTGTGAGAGGCCATTGAAATTAAAAAAACATCCTAATTTCAACAGGGAAGATGGTTTCTACGTCTCACCAGTTTGAGATCCAGTATTTCCTGTGATGAAAAATCTCAAACAGACGTAAGACTGCAGTACTAATTAGTATGTTTCAATTTAGTATAATTTCTATTATTAATTCATAATAAATTTAACTTAATAAAAATTCATTCAATAAAATATTTTACAAAACGTAATGTAGCGTAAATTGGAATATTTCTTTGTAAAATTAAAAATAAGGTATTTAATTAATAACTTTTATAACTAACTATAGTGAAAAAATCGTGTACTTTGCATTAATATTAGACATAACTGGTTGATGACCGTACCACCTCAGTCTACCGTAACCATGAGACCTGTAAAAGCCCCGAAACGTTGGTTTGTTTGAAACAACATTTTGTTTTGTTGTTGTTTAAACAAATATACGCGATTTAAATCCGGAAAAATTGTTTCATTTCCTATGAAATTAAATTATCTTTACGGTGGGATTGAAAGATTGAATACATATGAACTTGATGTCTTTCGTTCCAAAATTAATGGCAACACTCTTATTTGGATTAAGCACCAGTACATGTTTCGCTATGGCGTTCGAGGCATAAGGAACAGGCGTAATAAATAAATATGATTACCGATAGAATGAAGTGGAACCTCATTAGCATGCTGTCACACCCAGTAAATGGCTGGGCTCGGCAAATTTAACAACCTTCTCATAAAGGATATGAGGTAAAATTACGCCCACCATCATTAACTTTATTATAATGATTTTCATAAAAATCCAATTCAACACAGGTGTCAACGGGTGGACGACTGATATATACACACACTGAGGATGAAATAAAATAAAAATATAGGTAGTTATGGGAAAACATTTTTTTATTGAATATCGTAATGTTTTTATGAAAAAGAATTTTGTGAAAATACTCCACTAGTTTTTTTAGTTGTTTTAGTTTTATTATTAATATATACAAAGATCGAACAAACACAAAGAAAAGTTCCTTCGAGCCGTTTAGGCTCGAACCAGTGTCTGTTGCCTGACCGTGGCTACCGCTCTTAACGATAATGTTAGTAACAATCTTCGACTCCGACCTAACATGCTCCCACAGCGTAGATAGGCAAGTACCGAAATTAATGACGTATGTAAACCAAAATCGATATCTGTTATGAATTCTGGCTTATTTTGGCACACAATACCTATTCAAAATGCATTTTCAACACGGAGTATTTGCTACTATGTTCATAGACACGAAATGGTCTTGAATTTGAGATTAGCGACACTGCGCGCGCGAGGTGTTATTGATGCAAACCCGAGCAACTTGGACAGACCTTGAAGCGAGAATCTTAACTTAACTCTCGGATGCAGCCACCCGCGCGACGTTGCCGCAGCTACTTTAAAATCCTCTTAAAACGTGAAGAATTAAGATACGCCTGGACGACATGTTTTTAAAGT